TCACCCTCAGCCTGCCTCAGCCTCAGCCTGCCTCAGCCTCAGCCTCAGCCTCAGCCTGCCTCGGCGTGCCTCAGCCTCAGCCTCAGCCTGCCTCGGCCTCAGCCAGCCTGAGCCTCAGCTTGCCTCAGCTCGGGCATTCAAAATATGGCACAGTACTGGTGTTCTGGGAAGACGAAGATCACGAAGTGGCCCATAGTTGGCTCCGGGCAATCAAAATGTGGCCTGGGATTGTGTTCTGGGAAGACGAAGAACACGAAGTGGCCTACAGTTGGCTCCGGGCATTCAAAATGTGGCCTGGGAATGGTGTCTTGGGAACACGAAGAACACGAAGTGGCCTGCAGTTGGCTCCGGGCATTTAAAATGTGGCCTGGGAATGGTGTTCTGGGAACACGAAGAACACGAAGTGGCCTGCAGCTGGCTCCGGGCATTCAAAGTGTGGCCTGGGAATAGTGTTCTGGGAAGACGAAAAACACGAAGGGGCCAACAGTTGGCTCTGGGCATTCAAAACGTGGCCCAGGAACGGTGTTCTGGGAAGACGAAGAACGCAAAGTGGCCTACAGTTGGCTCCAGGCAATCAAAATGTGGCCTGTCTGTCCGGTTCCCGCCCAGACCCCCTCTGGGGCGTCAAGATGCTCTCTTTTGAGCCCACTAGAAGCCTATCAGTAAGAGCTGTTAGGTAACTAAGCATTTGCAACTCTGTCGCCAGTTGCAAACACATACGAAGCAATAGGCAATTTGCTAGGTCATTTGTAATTGGTTTAGCTCGGGTGGTGTTCTGATGTTACGAAAGGATCGGCGAAGGTGAAAAAACGCTCGCGCAACAAAAAACAGTACAGATACAATGGGCCGTCTGTAGATTTAGGTTCGACTTAACTTGATTTAACATGCAAGGGGCCAAACAATCTATGACGAAGGAAAGGATACCAATGAAATTGAGGGGCGCTCATTTCGCGTAGGCTCACCAGGGCGCAGTTATGGCAGGTGTCGCGATCAATTTAGCAATCCTTTGAACATGGCCGTCTCCCGGTCACAATTTCTTGACGCGTGCTTGGATTTGGTATTTTGCAAGTGCCCTCCCCCTCCCCTTCCTCACCTCGATTGTTTCCGGCTCAGAAATCGGCTTGTTGCATATGTCACCAAAGAAAAGACTCAGAGTCGAAGTATAGGGAATCACCTCACGGTTTCGAAGGCTGAGTTGCCCCGTATTTTAGAAGAGGCATCCCGTGACAACCATGAACCAGATGTTTTGCCTCTGGAGACGCCGTTTGGGCACCTTATCGATTGCTTTGCGCTGGCAATGAAAGATGGCAGCGAGGTTTGGTTTCACTATATCAATCCGATCGGCCACATATGGGTGTTAGCGCAGGGAGTTTTTGGTTTCGTGCCTTTTCTCAGGAAGTCAATGTCGCAGCACTCTCGCGATCACCTTTCCATAATTCTGTACTCAGACGAAGCCACTGTGGGGAATATCAAAAGGCCCGATGAAGGAGGAGGGACGGAGGCAGTATACTGGACATTTCTGGAATACCCAAGCTGGTTGAGAATGCGACAGTGTGGAACTTGTCCCTTTGGATATCTTCGCGTGAACACAGTGCGCGAGATACGGGGAGATGTTAGCAATTTGATGCGCGAGATACTTCGTATGTTTTTTTCGCCCGGGCAATGGACTTTTGATCGCGGCTTCCAAGTCAGACCCGATTTTTTCATGAGGTGCAAATTTGGCTGTCATCCAAGATGAGCGGGGACAAAAAAGGCACGTGGGATGTCAAGGGGGCAGGCGGGTGGAACTGTTGTATCCATTGCAAAAACATCATCATGAATTGCAAGACAAAGCGAGACGGGGTCCGGGCGGGCGCCTGGACGCCCGGACGCCGGGAGGCCCATGGGCGCCCGTGGCGCCCGGCGCCCGGGCGCCCAGGCGGCCGGGCGCCCGCGGGCGCCCATGGCCCACGCCCGGACGCCGCGGCCGCCCGGGCGCCCCGGACGCCCGGACGCCGGGATGCCCGGACGGCGCCCAGCCGCCGCCGCCTGGACGCCCGGGCCGCCCAGACCCAGAGCGCCCGGCGCCCGAAACGCCGGGCGAGCCCGGACGCCCCCGGCGCTCCAGCCACCCGACGCCGCGGCCGCCCGGAGCGCCCGGGACGCCTCGGACTTCTGACGCCGGGATGCCCGGACGGCGCCCAGCCGCCCGGACGCCCGGGCCGCCCGGGCCGCCCGGACGCCCAGAGCGCGCGGCGCCCGAATGCCGGGGCGGCCCAGGCGCCCGGGCGCCCAGCCGCCCGGACGCCGCGGCCGCCCGGGCGCCCCGGAAAAAAAAAAAAACGCCCGGACACCGGGTAATGCCCTGGTGGGGGGACGGCGCCCACCGCCTGGAACGGCCGGCCGCCCGGGGCCGGCCCGGTCGCCCAAGCGCGCGTCGCCCGAATTGCCGGGCGGCCCAGGCGCACCCGTGCGCCCAGGGCCGCCCGGGGACGCACCGCGGCCGCCCGGCGCCCCGGACCCCGGGCGTCCAGCCGCCCAGACGCCGCGGCCGCTCGGGCGCCCCGGACGCCCGGGTGCCGGGATGCCCGGACGGCGCCCAGCCGCCCTGCCGCCTGGACGCCCGGGCCGCCGGGGCCGCCCGGACGCCCGGAGCGCCCGGCGCCCGAACGCCCAGGCCTGGGCGCCCAGCCGCCCGGACGCGCGGGCCGCCCGGGCGCCCGGACAGCGTCAGGCGGAATTGTGGTATTGTGGGAACGTGCCCGATGGAAGGGGCTTCAAAGGAGAGAGGAGGGGGGATGCTGCCTCCCTCACCCCCCCTCGACCCCTCCCTCCTTCCCTCCCTCCTCCTCCACCCTCCCCCCCTACCCTCCCTCCCATCCCGCAGCGGACGCGGCAGCCCGCGCAACTTTGATCGGAGCCGGCGCAACAAACCCCCGCCCGCCCTCCCTGCCCTCCCTCCCTCCCTCCCTTCCCTCCCTCCCGCCCCCCTCCCCCTCCTCCCCTCCCGTTCCTTAGATTTCGACGTCGCAAGACAAACTGCAACATCGCGAAAAATCACGACCTGAGCCCTGGACCCCATCTTTCTGCGGCATTTTTCGAACAGGATCCAGGATCGACCCTCTGGGCCCTGGGGCCCGAAGAAAGACAAATCGCCCGTTGTGAAACGACTGCAGCGCCAGGATCTCAAGGTCACTCCCTCCTCCCTCCACCCCCCGGCGCGGGGGGTCCTCGCCAGGATCTCCAGGTCCTCGCCAGGATCTCCAGATCTCCAGGTCCACCCCCCGGGGCGGGGGGTCCCTCCTCCCTCCACCCCCCGGGGCAGCGCCAGGATCTCAAGGTCACTCCCTCCTCCTCACTCTTCCTCAAGGTCACTCCCTCCTCCCCCCTCCCTCTGGCCCGGGGGCGAGGAGCAAATGCACGCCTCGGACCACGTCGCCACGGGCGTCGCGAAGCCCCTGGCGGGCACGCTGGCCTCCACGGCCCGCGAGTCCGAGTTGGCCGGCAGCCGAGGCCTGCTCGCCCTCGCCCCCCCCCCCCCCCCCTCCTCCCCCTACCTCCCCCTCCTCCCCCTCCTCCTCCTCCTTCCTCCTCCTCCCTCCTCCTCCTCCTCCTCCTCCTCCTCCCTCCTCCTCCTCCTCCTCCCCCTCCCCCTCCCCCGCCCCCTTCCCCCCCCCTTCCTTCACCCCCCCCCCCCCCCTCCCTCCTCCCACCTCCCCCCCGCCTCCTCCTCCTCCTCCTCCTCCTCCGCCCTCCTCCTCCTCCTCCTCCTCCTCCTCCTTCCCCTCTTTTTTTTCCTTGCCAGGGACGAGATGGGCCAGGCGGAAAAGGGGTCCTTAGTAAGGCCTTGGGTTGCGCACAGACCTCGACCACGCGCAGAGGGGGGTAGGAGGGGGGGAGGCTTCTTAGAAGCACCCCTGCCACTTAGAGGGCGCGGGCCTTAGGCAGGGGTGCTTCTAAGAAGCGTTCCCCCCTACCCCCTTGTGCGCGCTGCCACAGATCAGTGCGATCGAAATGGGGACGGAAAGAATGGGTAGGAAAACCGACAGCAGCCCCTGCTCATTTTGAAAAGGACAGGGCTCGCTGTCCGCTGTCCATGTGAGACAGAAGACCGCCTGCCCAAAGGCGTCCGCTGTCGGTTCTGGACAACATATTTGTTGTTGGGCATGGACGCATTTTTTCCGTACCCCTCTCGGGCGCCCAGAATAGACAGCCTCCCAGGTAGTCCCGGCTGGCCTCGGCAGGCTCCCCGAGCAGTCCGAGGCGGGCCCCACCAAGGGGTCCTGGCAGCTTACACGCCGGTCGTTGAAAGTGAGTATTTTTGGATCTCCAGGTCCCAATCCACTTAGGCACCTCCCGACTGCAATGATCGAGTGTTTTCCCTCTTCCCTCGTCCTCCGGGGGCGCGCAGAGGCCTAATCTGCTTTCGCCCGCCTTCCTGCTTCATGTTTTTCCCCGGCTTCTTCCGAAGGACGGGTACTATGTGGCTTGACTGTACGGTCGCTTTTCGCCGTGGAGGGGGCCTCCCGGGGCCCAGGGCTCCGCCAACGAAACGCCCTAGGATGAACAGCTGGTCCCAGCGGGAGGCCGTCAGGGTCTGGGCCCCCGTGTCCCTTGGGGACTCGTGTTGCTTTCACTCAGGAGGGAAAAACACACACAGACACAATCAATCGGCGATTCCCCAGAAAATATAGGAAAATATGGGAAGTGGGGGGGAAGACAGAAACCCAGAAAATATGGGAAAATATGGGGAATCCTGTTATTTGTGTGTATTTGTTTGTGTGTCCCAGGGTCCCTTCAAAGTGGGCGCCTGGCTTGCCGCTCCCGCCGCTCTCGGCACCCCGTCTCGGGGGGGTCGAGGCCCACTCTGGCGGCCAAAGACTTTCGACGAGAGCTCCCCTCCTCCTCCTCCTCCTCCTCCTCCTCCTCCTCCTCCTCCTCCTCCTCCTCCTCCTCCCCTCCTCCTCCTCCCTCCCTCCCCTCCCTCCCTCCCTCCCTCCCCCCCCTCCCTCTCCCTCCCTCCCTCCTCCCTTCTCTCCTCCCTCCTCCCTCCCCCTCCTCCCTCCTCCCTCCTCCCTCCTCCCTCCTAGGCGGCGATGCCGATGCCCCGATTGGCCTTTTTCAGAGGGCAACAACATATGTGCATGTACGCGGTTTGCTTCCGCCGAATTGCGTTTGAACGCGGAGGTTCGTGCACGCAAGACCGCGGAGGGCGTACATGTACACATGTCGTTGCTCGCTCACTTTTTGGAGGCTACGTTCTGGCTCAGGGGCCGGTTCGACAGAATGGGAGCGGACACGAGCCACCCCTCCTGCAGTCGGGGCCCTGAAGAAGGAACCCTTTTGGTTTGGGAGGGGCTCCGCGTTCCAAGTGTTTCACAGCTTGCCTCAGGTTTTCCTTCTGTTTTCGATAGGAAATCGAAGGTTAACTTATGGAAAATAGGGGCCTCGTTCCTTATTTGGAGTTCCTTAGGTCAACGCCCCCACTGTAGAGCGGAGACGGAGGATCCTGATGAGGAGGGCCAGCGTGAACCCCAGGGTGCATCAACGGTGCTGCAACACACCCTCCCGTCCCCAGGTCCCCTACTCATAAGTCCACACATGCCTTACACGAGCCCCCTATTTCAGGAGGGGGAGAAACACGCAGACACAATTAATGGTCGATTCCCAGGACAATATAGGAAATTATGGGAAGTGAGGGGGGAAGACAGAGACCCAGAAAATATGGGAAAATATGGGGAACCTTTTTTAATTTGTGTGTATTTATTTTTTGTGTGTCCTGGGGCCCCCTCACTATTGGGCCTGCCGTGCAGGCGAGAGCGCCGTTCTGGAAGGGAGCTGCCGGGCGTCCTGCCCGTGATAGGGGGAGCTCGAGACACAGGGCAGGATCGTGCGTGCTGGCGAGGAGTCCCGCGAGGGCCCCGTTTTGAAACAGGAGCAACCGCCCTCCAGTCCGTGCAGCCGTGGCACGGTTTGAGGGAGCGTAACCAAGGGGGAGGAGGGGGAGGAGGAGGAGGAGGAGGAGGAGGAGGAGGAGGAGGAGGAGGCACCGGGCCGTCGACGTCGAGGACGCCTCGAGCGAGGCGCACATTGCGCGGATCGGCCGCCCTCCGCCTTTGTGGCTGCTGCAAGGCTGTCAGGCGAGTGTGCGCGACGCTGCGGCGAGAACTTCATTTTGAGAGCCGCTTCAGTCCGTTATCCATGGTTGCACCTTCTTTGCAGGCTTTTACCACGAATGCGCGCGACGCTAGGGCGAGAGCCCCATGTTGAAAACCAACCGCCCTCCGCCCTGGTAGCTGTTGTAATCTGTTGGGGCGAGTGTGTGTGTGTGTGTGTGTGTGTGGCGCAAGGGCGAGAACACCATTCTGAAAAGGGATCGCCTTCCATCTGTGTACTTGTTGCAGCTTAGTTAGAAAGCCTCAGGCGAAATTCCCAGCCTGCCTGTCTTACCAACACGTTGGGGGGTACGACCAGGATGCGTTAGTTCTACTTAAGGAAAAGAGGTTGGAGAAGGGGGATGATGATGATGGGGGAGGGGCAGGAGGGGGTGGAGGAGGGGGAGGAAGAGGGAGAGCGGAAAAGGGGAGGAAGCGAAGAATGTTCACGACGCTGATGCTGATGCTGCTGATGATGATGATGATGATGCTGATGATGCTGATGATGATGCTGATGATGATGCTGATGATGCTGCTGCTGATGATGATGATGATGATGATGATGCTGCTGCTGCTGCTGATGATGATGATGATGATGATGATGATGATGATGATGATGATGCTGATGACCAAGAGAAGGACGAGGAGGCGGAGGAGGAGGAGGAGGGAGGAGAAGGAGGAGTAGGAGGAGGAGGAGTAGGAGAAGGAGGAGGGAGAGGAAGAAGAGGAGGAGTAGGTAGGTAGGAGACACTCAAGAGACGCATCCCTAACCTGATCGTCGGAAAATATGAAGCCACACTCCTGGCCAGCTAGGATAACAATCTGATCCATCGTGAGCGACGCGGTCAAGTGTATTCAGGAGGGGAATGGCTCCTCACCTGCTGGGGGCGACACGTACGGAGGTCCCCTTCCCAGGACCAGGGACGCGGAAATGCGAATCCACCGAGTCTGGCAGTGACCTAGCCAGGCAGTGCGCACCGCACTGTGCAGAGCCACTTGCTCACGCGTGCGCTCAATCCTTCATGCGCTTGATGCGCCCCTGGAGGCCGCGCTCGCGCTTGTTCGCGAGGGGACTGCCCGAGAGTCTCCTCACCGCTGGCGCCCTCCCAAATCTTGGTCACGATGCCCACCGCCGCCTTGAGCTGGGTGGCAACGCCGTCTCCGAGCCGGTACTGGAAGCGATGGCCACGCTCCCGCGTTTCACCCCAGAGTTCCAAGACGTTCCTTCCGAGTTTGACATGCTCCGTGAACCTCGCCAGCGTCTCGACGATTTGGTACTCCTTGCTCTGGTCGTTGGAGTGGGTCTTGGCCGTCAGGAGCGCTTCCATCAGGGCGTGCTGGCACGGGACCCCGCTCTTGTGGCCCTTCTTGCCCTCGGTGGCCGCCCTCTCGCAGTTGGCGACTGCCTGCTTCGTGCTGTCGTGGAACTTCTCCCCCGGCTCGCCCGGAACCCATCATCTGCGATGTGTAGGGACGCCACGGTGCGCTCGGCTCTCCGTGGCGACCCGAGCGAGCAGGATGAGCTGTCCCGCTTGGTGCTCCCGTCCCCTGCGGCATCCTCCTCCTCCTGACGCCCGACCCCAGGCTTCGCTCAAGCCGGGCACGTCCCCCCACCGCAAGAGCTGCTCGAGAGCAGTCCAACGTGGTCTGGCGACGACTGTTTCGTGCTCCCGCGATCGTGCAAGAAGTGTGTGCCGACAGCTCGTTCTGGTTTTCCTTCAAGGGCCGCCTGCAGGAGGACCTGCCCGACCTGAGACTGCGCCTTCGGAGCCCGCAGTGCGCTCTCGCATCCGTCGCTCCTCGGGGCGATCGCGGGCAGCCGCCCCACGGGCAGCGGTGCGATCACGAGCGGCCGAACGCTGTGGAGAGACTGTGGGTCCTCCTCCTCCTCCTCCTCCTCCTCCTCCTCCTCCTCCTCCTATACCTCCTCCTCCTATACCTCCTCCTCCTCCTCCTCCTATACCTCCTCCTCCTATACCTCTTCCTCCTCCTCCTCCTCCTCCTCCTCTCTCCTCCCCCTCCTCCTCCTCCTGCTCCTTCTCCTCCTCCTCCTCCTCCTCCTCCTCCTCTCCTCCTCTTCCTCCTCCTCCTCCTCTCCTCCTCCTCCTCCTCCTCCTCCCTCTCTCCCTCTCCTCTCTCCTCTTCCTCTTCCTCCTCCTCCTCCTCTTCCTCCTCCTCCTCTCTTCTCTCTCCTCCTCCTCCTCCTCCTCCTCCTCCTCCTCCTCCTCTTCCTCTTCCTCCTTGTCCTCGTCCTCTGTCCTTCTCGTCCCCCTCTCCCCCTTTCGTCCTCTCTCCCCCTCTTCTCCTCCTCCTCCTGCTCCTCCTCCCTCTCCTCCTCCTCCTCCTTGTCCTCGCTCCTCCTCCTCCTCCTCCTCGTCCTCTCTCTTCGCCTTCTCTCCTCCTGTCTTCTCCTCCTCCGCTCTCGGAACCTCGCAGGGCGTGCGGCCAACCCGCTGCTGGACCCGCTGGCGCCTGCCAGCGCGCGGGGCACGCTCGTGACCGCCAGCGCGCGGGGCGGCGCAGGCGGGCCGGGGATGAGGAGGGCCTTCGGATCCGGCAGAGGGCCACATCCTTGTTCCTTATTATTATATACCCCAGCTACCTCGTATTCCCGCCGATAGCAACCCGATCCGGGACATCCCATCCGGACTGTAAAAAATCAATACAAAGTGGCCGTTCTTCTCAACATCGTCTTTCTCGTCGTCGACGATGCGAAAAGCGTGGCAGGAATGGGACGCGGCGCACATCGCGCGCGGCAGTTAATCTGGGCCCGCCCATCCTGACTGTAAAAAATCAATACAAAGTCTTCGTTTTTTCCTCTCAGCATGGCCTGCCTTGTCGCCGACGGTGCGAAATATGTGGCAGCAATGGGACGCGGCGCACTTATGGGACGCGGCGCACATCGCGCGCGGCCGTCAATCCGGGCCCGCCCATCCTGACTGTAAAAATTTCAATACGAAGTCTCCGTTTTTTCCTCTCAGCATGGCCTGCCTGGTCGCCGACGGTGCGAAATATGTGGCAGGAATGGGACGCGGCGCAACATCGCGCGCGGACGTCCATGCGGGCTGCGGGCCCTCCCATCCTGACTGTAAAAAATCAATACGAAGGCTCCGTTTGTTTCCTCTCAACATGGCCTGCCTGGTCGCCGACGGTGCGAAATATGTGGCAGGAATGGGGCGCGGCGCACATCGCGCGCGGACTTCTGGGGCAACCTCAAGGCGAGAGGGGCCACCTTACTTGTCAGAAGCAATGCTATGCTGATTTTCCCTGCCCACATAGCTGTTCTTGTCGTCCACCCCGCAAAAGTGCATGGCAAGAATTGGGCGCGGCACACCCCCCTCCCACCCCGCTCGACGTCAATGAAATGAATGGGCGCCGAGCGAAATTTTCTCAAAGCTGCGCTCCCGCTTTGGCTCGGCGCACGTTTTTAGCTCGCCAATTCATTGGGCGCCGGGGCGTTCCAGGAGGCCCTGGGGTGACGAATGCCTGGGAGGTTTTTGCTTGTTCAGGCTCTTGGGTTTCCTGACGCTCCCGGCGGTTTCTTGGCGCTACGGCCGTCTGGAGGCCATCTTGGGCGTCTTGGAACGATCTTTCGGCGACTCAGGGCCCCTCGGATCGTCTCGGGGGTGTCTCGGCTCTCTTGGGGCGTTCCTGGGGCGCTCTGGGACCTGGAAGTCAGCGCCGAAGAAGAAAACCATCGCTGGGACCGACGTGCCCAGGACCTGCTCGGGGTTCTTTTCGTCCGGGGGCCCCCAGGGGCCGCCCCGCGCAAAAACTAGAAGATTTTTAATTCGTTACCGGAGATCTTAGCACGCATCTGGCCCGTTGGGCTGGGCCGGGACCTGCACATATTGGACGCGGCGCACATCGCGCGCGGCCGTCAATCCGGGCCCGCCCATGCTGACTGTAAAAACTCAATACGAAGTCTCCGTTTTTCCTCTCAACATGGCCTGCCTGGTCGCCGACGGTGCGAAATATGTGGCAGGAATGGGGCGCGGCGCACATCGCGCGCGGACTTCTGGGGCAACCTCAAGGCGAGAGGGGCCACCGTACTTGTCAGAAGCAATGCCATGCTAATTTTCCCTGCCCACATAGTTGTTCTTGTCGTCCACCCCGCAAAAGTGCATGGCAAGAATTGGGCGCGGCACA